GTACAATAGTTGTAAGTTCCTAACTCTGATTTATTTTAAAACTTACCTCTTCTTCAGAGTCGACATCGGAAGACATGACGATAGGCATTTCTAAGACAGTAGTCTCCAGTCACAAAACTATAAATTTAAATAATTTAATAGTATTAATTATTTACCAAAACACATCAACTATCTAAAATCTAACAATATTATTAACAAATAACAATTCAAACATGTGCTTCGTATTTTAAATTTTAATCATTATCAATCTCGCGATAACTCGTATCAATAACCAACGTGAACATATTAAAAGTATTTTTTTTTTTTTAGAAAAATCGTAATACCAACCTAACTATTTTATTAAATTGGTGTCAAATTTGAAATTAAAATTATTTCTATGGAAAAAATAAAAATAAATTATACTGTATATAAATTGATGTAACAAGTTATTAGATTTTTAAATTTATGAATTTAAATATAGCAACGATGTCAAATACCGCGAATACTAGAAAATAAATGTGAAATTGTTTTATTTAAACAATATAACTCAATAATAAACAATATTAAATAAATCTGTCATGATGTCGTAGAATAATACAAATTTTATTATGTATGGAAAAAATAATAGATATATGTACTATTAATTATTATTATACCATTTGTATAGAATATGAACAGCTATTACATAAAAATACACAAGTATGAAGTATTATATTTGTTGGCAAAAATTATAAATTTAAGAAAAAAAACTAAATTTAAAATATTTATTTATATATTCGGAATACTAACCTTGTGATGAGTTCATGCTTTTGCATGATACTGATGTAAAAATGTAAAAAAACTAGTTTTTTAATTATTGTTTTGCATAAAATATATATTTAAAATGTTGAGTGGAGTGATGAATGAATTGTTTAACAACAACTATGTTGATTTTTTAGGTGCATGCGTAGACCAGTATTTCTATCAGAAAAATGCTACATCAGGCAAGTTTCATCAGTAGTATCAATAGTTACATCCACAAGAAATAATTACATATCACAAGAATAACCAAAACTATGGTGAATGCTTGAATCAGGGCCGAACTTCCGCCTAGGCCAACTAGGCAGCTGCTTAGGGGCCCTTGCTTTCCTGGGGCCCTCAGGGAAACACACACAAAAAAAAAGGTATCACTCACATACATTGATTAACACGGAAAATAGTTCGTGTTTAATATAGAATATTATTGAGAGGAAGTAATTTAGAAATTAATATTATTATGTTGTGTTTTAGTTTTATGGAACCGTATATAAACACATTTCGTGGTGTTTATCAGTGATTGTTTCTTTCTATTCGATTATATTTATAGCCGAAACCCATAAATAAATGTATAGCCGTAAACACTAAACATTTTTTTTTCGGTGCGAGCAATATTGTTATAATATTTGTTTTATCTATTAGTATGTTGAATATATACAAATTAAAAGCAGTTTTTATTAATATATATTTAAAAGGGCCCTTCTTTAGTAGCTGCCTTGAGGCCCTGGCTTGAATGTGCTTATTACTTAAAAGCATTTGATACAATATACAAATTATTCATTTAGAACGATTAAGTCAACCAAAACTCTTCATACAAAAATTTAGAACTAAATGTATGAATATATAAGACAATGTTTTCAAATTTCAACCAATATTTGTGGTTCACCACCTTGAGCTGGATTGAAAGAAAAAAAAATACATACATTTTCACAGTATTATTTTTAAATTGAGAAAGTAAGTTCCAATATTCTTATACAGTTCATTGTTTTGTTTTTGTAACCTAACCATACAATTTCTATAAAATGAAAAGCATAGAAAAAAATACAAATTTACATTTAAATAATATTATAATAGTATAAAAGTTATTGTGCATTATATATTATTTATATTTTAACTAATATTGACTGAAAAATAGGTATAAAATAAAGTATCCATAGAATATTGTTATTTCCAGTAAATGTCCATTTAATTAGTAAGTACTCTTGCTATAATTGTTTGTTGACCAACCAACATTTAATATTAAATGATCATATCCATATCCGTGTAATCCTTTAATTGCTCGTTCTGCATCCAATTTGGATTTGAAATTAACAAATGCATATCCTTTACAAGCACCAGTGACCTTATTAGACGCCAAGAAAATTCGAGCAACTTGACCAAATTTGTTCACTAATTCACTTAAATCAGCTTCAGATGTACTTTCAGAAAGATTTTCTATACGGATAGCAGGTACTTCGTCATAACCACGTGAGTATGGATCTCGTTTACCAGCTGTATTTGTGGCTCCTTCTCTTGCTGATGGGGGAATATATGGTCTAAAACAAAACATTAGATTAAGAACACAATATTGTGCATAGTTGTATACCAGAATAATTTTAAGAAGATTCAACAATAATGCGAGTTATTATTTGTCTTGAATACATGTAATGTAATTATTAATCTATGTTCTTCAATAGTAGTAAGGTTTTGTTAATTTTAATATTTAAAACCTCAAAATTATTGTATAAAAAAATGAAAAATTTAAAAAATGGTTCTATAAAACCCATGTAATGGAGCATGATATATGTCTAATTTGTAAATTTAACAATAATAATTATACTAACAAAAACAAAACTGAACATATTGAATGATACAAATTAAAATTAATATTTTACTATTTGCTAAAGGTTTTACATGTATGCAAGACAAATGTGGGTATTAGATGATTTTGTCTACATACATAAAAACATTTTAGAAAATAAAAAGACATCATAGTTTTATACCTGTTGGTACTGGTGTTCTTTTCAGGCTCTGGTACCTTCTCTTGAACCAGTTTTTTATCTTCAATCACCAAACCGGTACCCTTGAGATGACATGAAAACGACCAATGCTCTCCACCACAATTTCGGCATTTAATGTTCATGTTCACATTCTTTAATTTGTCCAATGGGTTTTCTTCGACCTTGTCGCCATCCTTACCGGACAAGAATTGCATCTGTATTTCTTCAGCCGGAATCGTGGTTGAAGTATTTGGTCCTGGTTTATCATTGCGTGAATCTCCAAATTTCGCCCATGTCTTGCGCTCAGCTATAGTTTTGGACACTAATCGTTTTTCAATTTTGTAAGTACGAACTACCTTTTCTTTTTTGTCATCTTTGTTCCAACGATATTCAGTAATTATTTTCGTATTTCCGTGTGTATCAACTTTTGGTGGCGGCAATGTGGTTTTTTCCAAATGATCTTCAACCTCATCTGCCCAACTGGATTTGATCAGATCCTTATTATGCATCTTTGCACCTTTAAAATAATTAAGTATTACACGTTTATATTTTATTGATAACCAAAATAAAATATTATGTTACCTACCTAGTTGATTAGTAAATTTCAAAAGGAAAACAATTAATCCAAACAAATAATTTCCAAATAAAATCGTGAAGTCTTCGAGATTCGTTCTATTTCTGCCAAGGCGAACGAAGTTAATTCGTAGTACAATTAAATTTTACAGGACTTAACGTAAGTAAAATGCACCGCACCACAACTAAGAAGCGTGAAGGGAGGAGAAGAGAAGGTTAATTAAGAATAAACAATGATAACACAATATCACGCGACACAAAAAAATTAAAGGTTATGATACAATTAATATGGTTCGATATTTATCAACCATAATAAATATTAAAAATAAGAAAATATTAAAATTGAGCCCATTTGTTTTGTTTTTGTAAAATTAAAAATCACGATTGTGAAATTCAATAGTATTACAAAATAATTTAAGGTCAAGATTACTACAGAAACTTTGTTGTTCAAGATGACGTGGAGTGCAATGTATAGCCTATCTACATCGCCGTGTTATATTATCTAAAAAAAAAATTAAAAATTAAATTTCAAAAGTTATACTGTTTCACATAATATCATTATGTTTGATCATTCGTATGCAGTGCTCTATGCATACAATTTTGTACTTTCCGAAGTTCGGCAATTTGAATTTTATATTTTATTCATATCATTTACAAATTCAATATTGTATCTAATTATCGTAATTCGTAGTGGTTAAATAATATGGTTTTATGCGATATTTTTAATAATATTGTTGGTATTATTTTGTAAAACAATGATTTATTGTGTAATATACATTTATAAACCCGATCAAATCATTAGTACTGAAAGAATGTAATCTTTGAAAAACAAAATATTGTTCACGTAAAGAATTAGGTCTAGCATTAGTGAGTAGTGACTGGTGTTTATGGAAAGTATCCACCACTAAATTGTCATCATGTTATATTGCCTATATTAATGTCCTCAACACACGACCGACTGCAGTCCCTTTAATAATATTGCAAACGTGGATAATGTATATTGTTGTTGTACAAAATAAGTATCAAGTGAAATTCATATAAGGTACGTCAATTTATTATTGGTAAACATTTTTAATAAAATCAAGTATTAAGTTTCGGTTGATATAGATAATATATAGCATAATTTTTGAGTAATCTACAAGGAAATGTTAGATATATTGACGGGACTTGCTTTAATGACTTATTGACTTTGATGTTAAATTCATAGTAAGATAACATTAAAATATACAAACGACACTGTCAATATTTTTAAAAAAAGAAACAAAAAATTAATTTTACATAATAATTATAAAATTGAATTGCGCAATTTTTATTTGAACTGTATAATACGTCATAATTCTTAATTATATAACAGCTGCTCCCTTAAAAATGTATAATTATGGCTATGCTGCTTGAATAGTGATAATTGATAAATCGGCCCATAGTGAAAATAATTCGTATATACGCCACTGACACGGTTGTTGAACTCTGTCGTATTCGTATGTAGCCATGTAGGTCGTAGGAGTTAAGTATGTACTAATGAACAAATTTAATTTTCGAGAACTGTTATCTTAATAAATATCATTGATCAACCTAATATGGAGTGTGGACTGATGTTATACTAAGTATGAACTATGTATAAACAAAAAATCAATTCAACGTTCTGATCAGGGGAAAAGATATAGAGACTTGACACTTGAGTGACAGAATGACTTTAATACTCATGCTGTAAATATTTATATTATAATATCAACAATACGATATGTAACATTAATATTTAACATTATTTTCATACATCAACGATAAACTTTGTAGTTTCAAATCGTAAATCCATAATGATTTGTAGTGAATATAAACATGGACACGAGAATATCCCACAAGTATATGCACATAATATCATTTATCATTGTATCAATGAATAAGTTTAAAATATAAATAAATAATAGTAATAATTAATTTATACGTATCACAAGATTGAAACACCTTAACACTACATAAAAAATATTATATGTACACTAATGTTTATGTACAAAATATATATTATATTGATGATACCTACGAGTTAAATTTGATAAACATTTAAAAACAAAAATATTATTACAAACTTATGGCTTCTATAATATATAGATTAAAACGTCTGCATATTATGCACGGCAGTGTAAGGCAAAAAAAATATATTAAATAGTGGACGTCTAAGCGACGACTGCCAATTAAAATTTGTAAAATTCAATAAAATGTATAAATTTGTTGAATTTGTGGGTCCATGTATATAATATGATAACAATTATAAAATAAATTTTATAATTAAAAAAAAAAAAGCTAAACGAAATTATCCCTGGCTTACAATACATATTAATCATGGAGATGGAATGGTGAAATGAGTATTGATCTCACTAGGTATTTTCATATTATAATTTAGAGTCATAAGTATCAATTACTATTAGTTAGTACCTGCCTACGTAGTCGTCTCAATTCATTAGTAAATTGACAAATAATTCAAATCGAATGTAGGTAGGTTAGGTAGTAGGTACCTATGTTTATCGAGATTTATCGGTTTTCAATTCAATTTTTGCTGTATTGATGTCGATGTGCGGTATAATCTTTCAGATGACCCGTCGATCTGCAAGTGGTTTTTTTTTTTGCCCAACACTAAATGATGTGCAGTAACAAATAATATTATTGAAAGAGAGAGAGAGAGAAAGAGTGAGGGAATAAAGATACAACACGGATACGTTATAATAATACAATAATATCGTGTAAAGAAAAGTAAGAGTTAAGAGTTCAACGGATTTTGGAACCACGTGTCGAGGTCATTGCTGTTGCCGTTGCTGCCGGTGCCGTCGTCTCCATCGGTGCGAGGACTGCGGGAAGTGATCCTCAGGTCGTTGGGCAGATCGTAACAACGGCACACGCAGCACGACGGGAACCTGAACCAGTCGGAGAATATTCCGCGACAGTCATTGGACGGGTCGTAGGCGAGCAGCCTGTGCAAGCGGTACTGCTGTTCGCATCGACAGCCCTGGCGGCAGAACATCTGCTTGTTCTCGAACCTGCGCAACACGATATCATATTGGTATTAATGTATTATACTTATACATACATGTGCGAATATAATATTATGTTTGTTAATTATTATTAACAATATATTATATTATGTTTGTTAATTATTATTGACAATATATTATAAGTGTATACATATTAAACTCTAAGTATGCAATTATTTTGGTATAAACTAAAATAAAGCAATACAACTACAAATTATTTATTATTATTTTAATCTTAAGAAAAATAGTGAAACTGGAGCTTTTTCTAATGAAAAATTAAGTGTTACCGCTCTGTATACGATAAAATAAATCAATAAGGTATCAGTTATTGCTGCAAAAAGAAGTAGAGCGATACTTCCACAACCACTGAAGTTTTTTAATTAATAGAGAATATTTTAATGTTTAGAATGTAGGTACAACATAATAGACAGTACCTCGGCTTATATAGTTGTATCGATATAAACTGCTTATAATATGCCCTATTAATTAACTATTATTGGTTAAACGTTCCATTATATCCTTTAAAGAAATGCATCAAGTAACCTATTAACAGCCTCTCATATGATAATTAATAATAAATTTCAGTTTAAAAATTTGATCTTCTTTAAAATTTGGTATTTAATTTTAATTGAAACTAGCAGCGGTAATTTCTAATTACATTGGTTTTCATAAACACAACAATTTTTAAATGATACAGACTTATAGCATATTACTATATTAGTATCTCCATAGTCAATGAATCAACCCGTGTATGGTAATATTATAAAATATTAATTATATTGATTATTGACTACTCAATACTCACGTGCATCGCTCCCAGTGAACGTACTGCTCGAACGGGTAGAGATTGAGCAGAGCGAGCACTTCGCCGCGAGTGTTGTTCGCCCAAAACGGCGCGACCACCTCTTCCTTTACCGGGCAAGCGTTACTGCAAGAAACAAAAACACGCGGTTCCACATAATCGAAAAAGATATATTATATTATTATTATTATTATTATTATTATTATTATTATTATTATTATTATTGTACTATCATTATTCAAAGCTCCAAAGGCAATAACGCGTTCAACGGAAAACGTTCAGTTTTGCTCGTTATTGGTCAATTGGTTTGCTTTGAAAGACAAATGTCATATTATTATATGGTCGCGTTACGTACATGACTAGTAATGGATAAGCTCCAATATAGTATGATAAAGTGAAAATAATCCGGATAAATTCCCTTATATACTTAATTTCTTTCATCCCGACGGCACCCGCTTGTTAATAAACCTGCTAAATTGAATTTTCTTAAACAAATCAATTCGTTTGTTATAAAAAGAAGTTTTTTTTTTTTTGGTTTAACGGAGGATTGAAATTCTGAATGAAAAGGAGAGATAGGTGGTACGGCACTGCAGGTACCTATTAGAATTGTTGGTCTACCATACATTATACACAACATACACCCCTAAAGTTGTAAACTTTAAAACTTATAATATAACGACATAAAGAACGTGATGCTTGATACTTGTACTGCATAGGCGTACATTGGGAAAAACCCCCCAAAAATGCACGAATCCTTTAACCAAAGTGTTTCCTAACTTGACCTCGTAAATATAGTAAATTATGTTAATTCGTATCAATTGATATTTCTACCCAGACCCTCCCACCAGATTTTTAACTACATTTACGCCTATGTGTATATTTGATTTATTTCCCATCACAATACTCGATTTTCTTATCTTATTGTACAAGTACAGCGTACTCACATGCCTTTTGATTTCTGAGTGTTGTCCGTGCCGCCATCGGTGGACTCCTGGAAGAATCCCGGTTGCTCTTGCACCTGGTCGGTGCGCTGGGTCGACGCTATCGGTTCGGTGGTGGTTTCGAACTGCAACTGGTCGTCCACGGTAACGTCTTCCGCGGTGCCGTCTTCTACGTCTTCTTCGGCGGTGGTCGTCGTGGGCGGCATGACGTCGGCCACGGACGCGGCGGTGACGTTGGACGGCCGGGCGGTGGACGTCGTGGTCGTGGTCGCGGTGGTCGCCGTCGCCGACGTTGCCGACGTCGTCGTAGTAGAGCTGGTAACGTTGCTAGCTGTAGCGGTGCCGGTTGAGGTCCCCAAAGTAGGTACCGGTGGCGACGGTTGAGAGTCGTAGCGGTTCAACGACGACTCCTCCCGGCGGCGGTTCCAGACGCCACCTTCGATGTCGTTGGTGTCCATGTCGGCGCGCAACACCGATATGTGTCGCTGTTCGCCGTACATGCGTTTCATCAAACCGTGATTCTCGAAAACGAACCGTCGGACCGCGTGCCTGCACATGATAATATGCAATTCAATAAAATAATATCACAACGACAGTGAAGAGAAAACGTGAGAAATCGTGATTTCGGGTGTAAATCAAATAATATATTATGCATGGTATATATTTTAGCCATAATTCCTTAATGTGAGTCATTCAAAAAATTGCACACGTTTTAATTTGGCGGTAAATACCTAGTACTTTTTATGCTCCATTAAAAGGCACTAAAAATGAAATTTATGAGTAATGCTTTACGAAATTGAATTTTTAACTGTATGACATAGTATTATTTAAAATATTATACTATATTAAGAGTTGCTGACCGACACAATTACTGTACTTTTACATAGGTATTGATTAAGGTAACATTTATACACAGTAAAATACAATCCCAAGTATTCGCCTGTAATATAAATCATTTCATACAATCAAACTGTGTTTTCGCGATTCCACCGTCTCATATATAAATTTTGAATTTTAGTGTTTTTTCATACAACTTCCACGATATTGGTAACTCATAAGCTATACCGTAGTTATACCCATCTATTATCTAGTATATTATGTGTTACTGTTCAAAAACAAAAACAAATTGAAGGAGATATTATAGTAGTCGTGATATAATATTCGATAAAATTGTATGCAAGCAAGTTTCGAGGGCGTGTTTTTGGCGTACTTTAAATAATTATAATAATTGTATTTAAGTAAGCATTACAGAATCTAAAAAATTAAAATGTGCACGAGAGTTGTAATTCAAACTTTTTATTTTTAAATTGCTGAAAACTAAAATAAAAACAATCATTGATTACTGACTAGGCAATGTTCACAAAAATTATTAAATATAGCTCTATCAGTGGTTTTAACTTTTGATGCTGTCTTTCAAGGTCAAGCGTAACGTCACGCGAAACGTATAGGTAGTTTTAAACACGGCAGTTTTGTTACAATAGTCAATAACGATTAACGGCCCATTGTTCGGATCACGATAACCGGATAAAACGTGATTACGATAAAGAAATAAACTATAAAAGCATCGGTCTGCCGCAAATCGACGTCTGAAATTGTAAAGTGTGTCGATAGTTTAACAGCCATCCCCAGGCTATGATATTGTAAAATACTAAAATGTAATGTTATGTTTAATATTCTCGTAATTATTATAATATGATGTATGCATCATATATATGCATATGAATATTGTACATACAATATGCAGTATTATAGTTTAGTGTAGGTAAGGTGTACTTGGGCCCTGTGGTTATCCATGTTTTAGATTCTGAGCGGAGCGGTGAATGTATGTGTTAATTTTTCAATAATGCGTTTTATATTATTATTATTATTTTTTTTGTTCCAACATCATATTTTAGAGTAATAAAAATGCTTCAATTTTCAACTTTTAAAAGTTGTGTCGAAGGTAAAAATTCCAAGTACTTTTCAAAATAACTGCAAAAAAAAAAAAAAAATTAAGAAAAAACAGAATTTTTTTTGCATAACCGGTTTTTGAAAAAATCAATTTTGTTATTTTGAACTCAAAAACGAATAACCGTGGAAACCTGAAATATTTGTATCAAATGTTTAATGTTTATACTATCTTTTTTTATATATGGTATTATAATTATATTACAGTTATTTAAAAATATTTTAAAGAATCAAAGGCACGATTTTTTTATAAACATTCAAAGTTCAAATTTAGATATATTTAAAGTTTAAACAAAGAATTAAAATTTTAGTTATTTTTTGTATCTATAATCACAAAATATTATTCGTGGGAACTTGAAGCATATTATTATATATTATATACGAGCAATGAAATTTAAAATGCAAATGTTTTGGCAAAAAATAATTCAAACTACAGTACCAATACTATTACTAATAGTAAAATAAACTACAACTACTTGAACATAAATGATGAATATATTATAAAATATACTTGGTAATATAGATCTTTGCTCGCAATCGTTTATCGTATGCAATGATTATTATTGAATCAAAATTTAACACATTCAATCAATACAGTGCTCGGCTTACTTGGTGACGACGTACACTGGACAGTCGACGCCTATACTGTACAGCGGAGAAATTACCTATTCTCCCCCTTCTTTTGTGGTGTTAATTAGAGTTTCATAGTAACATATACTATTATCCAATAAATAATAAGGGATGTACACAAACATATACACTACATACAGTTGGACTTAGTTAACTTAAGGTTGAAGGGACTGGCCAAGAAGTTCGAGTTATCCTAGGATAATACAATTTAATAGGAAATTCGAAATTCTAGGAACCGGGAAAAAGTTCGAGGTATTGACTATTTAACTTAGTTAACCAAGTTGCACTTCTTGATTATAACACTGCCCATAGCTGCTTCTAATTGTTTTAGTTGTCTTGCTGACTGACTCATCAATCCAATAAGTACACTCCCACAGTTGCATCCGGTATAGACGGTACAGTGTATATAACTAATAATTAGTAACAACGACCATTGAGCATGAGTACAGTAGCACGCATCATGTTGAATTTAAAGTAGGTATTGGTATGTAACATAAAAATATATTATGAAATTTAAGAACATACTTTGTATTTGGTTGAATAAGAGTCTTCTTAAATACTTCATGTTTCTTTTATGATAATCATTTAACTATTTAGTATGAAATTCGCTACTTTTCCTTCAGAATGTATAATAGGTTTGAGTATACCTCATAACTGAGTTAGATGCTGTAAGACCAATCTATGAAGAACCTTGTATTAAAATTGTAAAGTACAAAAATTAAAAATGAAGAATTTTTAGATACAAAGTAATTTGTTATTGTTCGTAATTTTGATGAATTTACTTTTGAAATTTTAAAATTACTATATTTAATATAGGTACCTACATTGCGTATTATAAATACAATTGTACATTGTATTAAGAACTTTGTATTACATATTTACAAGGTAATAATTACAAGGGTTTCATTAAACATCAACATTATTAAAAAAAAAAAAGTCAAACATTTAAAATGTCTATATATGGTAAATTATTTTGAAAATTATATCTACATCTATAAAATATTATAATATCTTTATATTGGATTATCTGACTCTAAGCTTTCCGAGCTATAAAATGTGTTTCATGCGTATCCTATACGATTTTAATGGGACATTTTTAAATTTTTTTAAACAAATTTTGACCTGTACCATAGTAATAATGAAAAAAATTGTCTTTATATTTCATTATAAAATGTATTTAATTTTAATTTTTGCACTATGCAATGTCGGCCTGTGACTTTAATTTTTTTAAATAACACGCGTCTAGGATATATAGATCGGATTATCACGTCACTGTATGTACTGCATATTATGTCAATTATTATATTTATTCAACACGGTTCAACCCGTTTATTAAAATAAAATATTTATAAAATAATAATTCTTATTGTTGTATCAAGTCTTTAAAGATATCATCTTTTGGGATATTATTAACGAAAATATATTATAATAACACAAAATGATTAACCTTGACCCAAAGAAAAATCCAGAAATGTTTGTGTTTCGTGGAAATACTCTAGTTTTCCTTGAAAATACTTAAACTATAAACACTATAGGTATACTTTCACCGTGTCCCTAGAATATGCGTCTTATCAGATCCCGAACACAAACAAAGAACATCACCGTTTAAATCTAGAACTTTCACTCGCTCGTGTCACATTAGACATACTTTCACCTACATTTATGCGTGTGTTACATAAATCATGACAAACAATATAATGGGCAATTTTTTTTTCATTCATAACAAATAACCTACGTATATTTTTGGGTAACAATGTGGTTTTTGCTTTCTAAATATTAGGTCATTGGGACTTTTGCGTCGCAAATAATATTATAATATATTACCACGGGTACGTTGATCCAGGTACCATGCACCATGATTGAGTGTTAAAATCGCACGGCAAATCTGGAAATTTGGCTCTTGCATTTCGATATGGTTTTGTGCAGGTGCTATAACCGTCGTAACCGTAACCATTGAGCTCCAACGGCAGCTGAAACAAATAATATATTATGTTACAGCAAAAATAATATAAATGTTTCGTAGATATAATATTTACAACAAAAATCTAGATATTTAATATTATTTTCTTTTAAAAATTTCTACGCAATATCGAAATTTGAGAAAAGTATGACCTGCTTTATGTGTTATATAGGAGCGGTATGTCGGGCAGAAGAAAGGAGCCGTGAAAGTTAAGCGTTGGCATTGGAAACTGTGCCATGTGGCGGCTGACGGTGATTTTTATTGTGCACACAATGTCAAGGTGCCTCAACATTGCAAGGATGAATTACGATTATTTTTTCGTCTCGTGAAGCATAATAATACACGCTAAATAACTATATAATACGCGTATATCATACACTATGTGGACAATGGCTATCATATTTTAGTTACGGTTCCCCGGTGTCGAAAATAAAACGATCGGATTTCCAATTAACGTCTTCGGCAAAAAATTATACGCGCACTCGAAAACGCCACCGACGATTTTCGTATACATATTTATTCAATTAAGCACAATATAAATGTATAATACTATAACCACTCGCGAAACAGTCAAAGACCTCCTCCAGTGGTGTCTTTATCTCACAAGGACGAATGAATTATTAATAAATTCATGTACATTGTACAGGTGCAGTATACACCGAGCGTCCGCGCTATATTATAGTGTGTTGTGCAGCAGTGTAGTAATAATACATGGAAACAATATTGTAATATGGATACGAACCGCTAGTTTCGCAATAAATTCGCGGATTCGACGACCTCTGCGCGGTCAATGATGAACGTTATTTTTTTTTGCCACCAATCTGGTCTGACCACTTTAAACGTACTCTACGTCACGCTTTACGTATCTATATTATATGCACACAGTTGTTTCGGGTTTTGCTCATGAAGATCGCACTCGATATGGGACCGCGGTGGTTGAGTCTTGTCTTTTACCTACCAAGTAATTATTATTTAATACATTTCTACTAATAAATATTTTTACTGCTCTATACTTGTGAAATGTACACAGACAACGTTATAAAACACAGCATTTAGGCATATCCGTTGCCCGTTGGTCAGCAATTTATTATCCAAATGAGCAAAGTACTATACATAGTCATATAGTCTATAATGACTAATGAATAATGAGTAATGAGAAACCAACCAGTTCCGTCAATCAATTTGTCGCTATGGATTACGAATTGGTATTAGTAAGTACATATTAGCTATAGGAAACGCGGAAAGAACACGATACTTTAAAATTAAGCCATATCACGAAATTTAGAATATACATTAATTCTCAGTTGGCAATGGAGCGGGCAATGACAACCGGACAGTAGAGACTTTTCAAACATAGTGTACAATACAGTATTGTTATTATTATACCTACCAATAATAACATAAACAATTGCACGTACCTATATACGTATGAAAATGTGTGCAATGATCACACAGAAATTAGTTTTAATAATGTATCTACTATCTAGCATTTATTATGAGAAAAAAACAATTTTCGGGGTGAATGTAAATAAATGTATTCCTGTATTCCGACAAAAAGGACAAATAATATAAGTGAATGGTACAAAATGTGCGCCTATTGGTTACACAAATAGATGAGAAGGTGCGCCGACCGAATATGGAATACCTTACGTGTTTGCTCTTTGATAGGTTATAATCTAATAAAAGAAATCAAATACAATTGTTCAGTTAATTTCAAGTACCATATAAGAGATGATTTCGTTATATGGTTTTAACACTGAATGTTAAGCTAATTAAATTAAAAACGTATTGGCATTATGAAATTAGATATATTCCTCAGGGTATTTCATAATATAAGTTTAAACTATTACGTTGTAGTCGTTGTACTATGTTAGAATTATAACCAACATTGTTTATTTAAAAAATAAAAAATTGTAAGACCTGATACTTTTATCATATAAAAATAAAAATAATTTGATTTAAGTATAATGATTATCGTTATAAACAGTCTTCCGTATTGAATACAAGTTAATATTCTATATTTCCATATCATGGTCACTGTTATTATAGGTGTCTACTTTAAAATATAAAACGTAATATCATTATTTTTATTTTTTATGTTATGTTATATTCAATAATTTCAGACATTTTGAAAAGTTGATTTTAAATATTACAATATATTGCGTATATAATACCAACATAAAATAAATATAAATATGGGTACATATCTTTAAATATTTGTGTTATTAGGAAAATAAAAAGATTATGTTAATAGCAAAAATGAACTGTAACATTGGTTACAATATGAATACCTGTCAATTGTCATTTGCAATTTGTCATATTATTAGGTTTGATAAAATGATGTACCATAATACTCAACAGATACCTAGTTCAACATATTATTTACGGAACAGCCTACTATTCCATATGCGGCACACCTCCTCCAAGATTTAAATGTAGCTATAAGATCGTTCACGAATCATAAACAGGCTGTGAATTAGATTCGTTTTTGAATAGTTCTAAATTTATTTATTTTAATCGGGTCGGATATTGTGGCTTATCTCGATATTATGAGTAAATCTAGGTAATAAATGTAAAATATAATAGTACATTGTATTAAGTATTAACAGTAAATATCAAAAATATCTTTGATAATAAGATAATATTAACTCGGTCGAGGGCATTGGTCCAGTTTGGTATAGGTACAATCGACCGCACTGGAAAGGTGAAGCTCCGACCTTCACCCTGCCTTGCCGATAGCTCTTCCTCTTCCTGCTCCTGACCACGCGCTTTGTTAAAACCTCATTTTATACATCGTATGCTCGTATTCGGTATTACTACTTACCCGCACATACGTACTCACTACTCTCATACAATAACGGCTAAAAATTATTTTATTGAGGCACACCATATTATGCTCGTAACGAAAAACGTCCAATGTTTTATTTTGTATCAATAATCAGAGTTATGATAGGACTGATATGATTGGTACATAGGCGATTTTCAAGACGGAGGAAAATGCAAAGAAAAGTGATTATCGCCATGTTGCACCCCCGAAAGTTTGTGTATTTTATTGGGCATCGGACCCACCCGGGAAGTGTCCAACGGAACAGATAAAAAAATAAAAGTTTGTTTTAACTCTTCAATACTTATTATACGTATTTACATAGGTACTCATGCTACAAGTAACGTGTTCAGTACCTATGTATTACTATTTATTAGAATACGTATAATTTGACATAAAAATACTCGCTGTTGCGCACGTCACATCATAATATAATATACAATAATATCAATATGATAGTAATATAGGTATCATATTATAAGTTATAAGTCATAGGTAAAAATTTGTTTAGCAATTTTTTTCCTCGCCGTTCCAAATTATCTGACATTATTTTAATTTATAAAAAAAACACAAGCAATTAAATAAGAAACCTAGCATCGTATGGTTGTTGAACCATGAACAATAATTTGTTTAATGACGTATACGGTATACCTACATCCGTCATAATCTTAACCACACATCAACATCATTATAATATCATCAATTAGTACTTACTGCCCAAAGGAATAGTATCTTTAAGTACATGAGTCGTCCACATGCAGTACACTGTAGGGGCGCGCGCGACCACGCACATGGGTTTTACTGAGCTCGGCCGGGTGTCGCACGCGAGACTGACTGACTGGCCGGACGGCGACGACGACGGCGGCGGCGACCACGAAACTGGGTCAGCAGCAGCTCCGTAGCGTGGCATATACCGTTACGTTTAGCCTACTCGGACGACGGCGGCGGCGGCGGTGGAGTAGAAGAAGAAGACCGTACAAGACGAAGAATGAGTCGAAGATCGGTGGTTCCCACGCGCGCACACCGCCGCCATCACGTCGACAGCGCCCGCGCACGTAACACCCGATCGCGTCGCTCACTTTCACCAGCCGCCGAGTGTGTGGATATATTAGTAATAATATTATTATTTTATGACGTGCCTACACAGCGTATTAAATGATAACAATGTGATCATAATAACGATAATGATAATTAATAATTCGAACGCACGTGTCCCATTATAATATTATTATTATTGTAGCAGCCGAAGACGGAGTTCGCGGATATCCCGGCGCGATTGAGCGCATTTCCCTTTTTTTCGTCCTTATTGTTTATTGTTTATTTCGTTTTTCGCGCCCCCCTACAATTACAATAATAGACACAGTAACGTTTGTTTGTTTTCGGCGCACGTGCGTATAAAAATCGAATTCGACCGAGATCGGTCAAAGCGTGGCGGCGGCGGCGGCGGCGTCGACACTGCCGTTTGATTATAATATTATTTTAGGTACATTGAGGAATACCTATATAATATTATTTTTATAAATGTATACCCACATAATATGATATATTGTTTACGATATACTCAATACCTAAGCATTAATATTATAGTTTTGTAAATGTCATTTTACACTAATTCTACTTTATGGTTAAACAAATATTCAACATACAAATCATTGTTATTTTTTTTAAAATTGTTGTTCGGCTACGCTATGTAAACTATACAGTATCTATGGTAGATATGTATCGGATATTGACGATTTGAATGTTGGAAACCACTTTGAAATCAAGTTCAAACCTCTAGTATAATCATCATAGAGCACTATTGATTTTCTCGGGTACATTCGCAGATGCTTTAAATTTATAATGCGTACCTATTCAACTGCTTATGTCACGTTTAAGTCTCCGGCCACGACCGCTCGACTTGGCCGATTTGGCATTCGTTCAAATGCATGTATAATTTCATGTAATCATTTGCGCTTCAGAAAATAGAACCGCATTACGTTATTAATTAATATAAAATATACCTTTATAATTTTGATCCGTTGGTAATTATCGTGATCAAATTTAGGTAAAAGAACAATAATATGGAATTTGTGGTATTATATGTAGTAGGTACGAACAGATCTGTTGATATGTGGGATTTATTTTATTTGTTTAAGAGTATTATGTATATGTAATAAATGCAAAATTTTGTTAATCATAAATTGTCATATTTTTCATCGATATAATATTACAGATATGATACTATATACAGAATACCTATAGCCCATACGGCTATATACATACGTGGCTACTTAGGTACATTATAAATTATAATAATATTATTTAACAATTTAATAACTTTAAGTAATGACTTTAAAAAAATACCCAAATAAAATTTCAAATTTTCAAATATTAAAGGAATGTAGTATTTACTACAAATAAATAATGTTACCATTTCTACGAACAAAATATGTTTGATTGGCTACGTAATGTTTTCAAAGTGTATGTAGCGAGAATGCTAGAAGATAATAATGGTCACGAATGTCATCATTGATGAGTAAAAACATTGACTGAGAACGAGTTTTCGTAAAGACTGATGATAAAATTGGAAATAAATAATTTACAAGGTAAGACAATGTGAATTAAAATAAAATGTTAATAAGTTTGCGCCTAAAACCTACATAGTTATTATTATTAAAACTATTTTATATAGAAATGAATATTGATAATACTAATACGTATAAATAATTCAAAAATGGGTTCCATACGATTTAAAAAAAAAATAAGTTCTTGATTGAAAATTTAAAGGAAAAAAGTTTTTTACTAGGTTTTTACCTAAAGTATTTTTTCCATCATAAGAATATTAGACCGTTGAACTATAGTAATTTGTCCCTGTAAGCTCTTTAGTCTTTAGGAATATTATATTATGGTTATAGTCCTTATGGAACATTTTAAAGCAACTTCTTTAATTAGATCTATATCTAGTCAAATAAAGGAATATGAGCTCTCGGTTAAGTATAATTGCGGTTTATGACCTCTGAAGGGCAACGAACGTTTGGACAAAAAACAAATTTAACTGTATCTACGAATGAATGAATACGCTTGTCCAGCATGAATGTTTCAATGTTTGTATTATTACATCATAATATATTAAAAAATGAATCATTTATTATTTTTAATTTATCAATTTATAATTCTAATGAATGAATTGCAAATAAGCAATCGTATAATATTCTGATATTCGTACACCTAACATAAACATTAAAATACCAAAGTACTTAATGATTATCTAACATGGGCGACAAGATTGAAAAAAAGTCATTGAGTACTCTGAGTGAAAAGCCCCTATAGGTCCCCCTCGGCCATTAAAAGAGTTAGTAAAGGCTTTATTCATCCATTCTTTGGATTAAAATCCAATATTCCCTATAATATAATATACTAAGTAAGTACATATAGTATTTAGGTATAAAGTGATTAAGTATAGCCATTGTTATTTTGTAGTATTTACTATTTAGTATAAATATATATATTAATATTTTATACCTATTGGTTTTGGTTATTACTTATATTACTTGTTTATTGTCGTTATTCTAACAAGCTAACAGGGTAGGTAGTTGTTAATATGTGGTATGTAGTGTTAACCAACGGTAAATCTAGTTATCCCAAATGTATTAAAATTTTTCTGTTTTCCCAAAATCAATTAAAATAACTCGAATATTTGAAATATAAGCAATAATCAGATTTGTGGGACAACATTATACACGGGAAACTCGAATTAGTTTTATGAAAATATCATCCGCAAACGAAAGGAACTCGAAATATTTATGATGTAACATATTATAACATAGGTAATTAATTATTATATTTTATATTATGTATTTTAGAGTAAGTATATAAATTATATACCATACAGTATATACAAGATTTAAATGAGAGGTCATATCAATTACCGTACAACAGGGAGGCGAACCTTTTTGTACCAGCATGTCAAATAAAAATTTTGGTTGGATTTTGTTTTCCCTGCGTGTCAACTAACTCGATAACCCTTCAATTTTTTTTTCAAATACTTTAATATTATCAAACTTTTACACATTCGTGTGTATCACTCTGTGACACGCATGTCATAAATTTGCCATCTCTGCCGTATAGTATATAGGTACTAGGTATATCTATACTTACCTATTGAAAGTTAAAATATTGTCTGTCTACTACCAAACTAAATGATGTTAAATTATATTAAACATTGAACATTTTGATATTAATATGATGAGTATTGATTATTGACAGTTGAGTATGATGTAATAATAATGCAATAGTTATAATGTAATATATCATGGCGCGGTGTCTACCCCTGAGTGTACGCAGCCGGTGTTGCTAGTTCCAGGATAGGTGTACACCCGGGGTTTTTAGCAATAAATCCTTGCCACACAACTACACCTGTTCAAATCCCCCCCCCCCCACGGTACCAGGCTAATGATCTTAGTAGTTCTACCCCCAACCGTACCACCACACGCCCAAATGGTTTATGTTGAAACGGGTTTCCCCCCATGATAATACAAATTTAAAAAAATATATATATCATATCAAAAATTAAACCCAATAGTTTACTCTGTCTTAAACAAGAGTATACCTACTTACCTATGTAACCTCAGGCGGTGACCGATTTTCGTTCGATTCAGTAAGACACTCGGACCACACACATTGATTAAATCAGTTATCTTAAACTTTCATCATCAGCTTTCGTTTTCGACCATTTTTCCGTGGAAGGATTTTCCGAGTGAATTTCAAAATTAACCTAGAAAGTTTATGGTACTGGTGAGTAACATTTTTGCAAAAAAAAATTCAAAAATGTTAGTTTTAACTTCTAACTAGGTAACTAGGAAAGAGATGGAAAACAGTGTTCCAGCGAACATTAACAAATTTAAAGAAAAAGTAGCGTTTGTGACTTTTCGGCTTCTAACTAATATAAATTACGATCTTGAAATTGGAAAAAAAAAAAATTGAAAAATGTCAATTTTATTTCTGCTTGTCTTCAAATTTTTGGAGTGCTTAGAAAAAATACTCCAATTTTTGACTTCAGCATTTTTTTTGATGGAGAAGTGAATAGAAACATAATTGCATAATGTCAATAACTAATAAGTAATAACAGTTTTTTATAATTCATAATGTGTTACTTAATAGTTAATAGTATACAATAAAAAACTAGCAATTTGTTCATTGTCAAAAAAACAAAAAAGTTCATTTATTTTTAATATAATAAATCATTTGCATATAAACAAACAAATTGATAGCTACAGCTTGATGCCAACGTTAATATAATAATTTATAATAAGATTATTCTTATTCATTTTCATTTTCACTCAGATGCAGCCATGTAGATGGTACTTATAAGTTAAAGTTGGGAATTTGGGATATATTCTCTCTAAATTGTGTCTCCTCTCAAAGCAACAATAAATATATTCATTTCACCTCCACCTAACCACTGATTTCTTATAAAATAGAATAATTTAAGATAAAGTGTATAATAATATCATGGATACTCTTTATGGTATGTTATGCATTAAATATTTAATATGTTATATTAAGCAGTAAAATTTTTAAATACAAAATTATTATATATAAAAAAAAATCCAACAACCAACAATAGTTTAAAATACATTTTTCAATATAAAACTCAAAGGGAATCCCCAAATTAGTATAATAGCAATAATAATAATAATAATAATAATAATAAAACTAAATTATTTTGGACGGAACAATGATTCATAAAACACTTGTTATCAAAGTGGAGTTGGAGAAGGAACCCAGAGTGTTTTGCTTTGTTCTAAATCGACAGCAGCTTTAATTTGAGTACACATGTATGCCACATTAACTCCAGCTGGTATGACAGCTGTAATAAAACATTTAATATTTTTAATATAATTCATTATGAAATATTATGTATACTATTAACAGAAACCCACCTGAAATGTAATGCCGATATTCAGATTCAAGCTTCAATGCGTGTTCATACATTTCTTTAGCTGCTTTAGCAGAAATTTTATCATGAGATGATCGAGAGTCTTTAGCTTCTTTCACTTGCTTAGTGGATTTAAACTTAATTAACAAAACAATAGGATATATGTGATGACGATGAAGTCTCTCGACGCTGGTAAGACCAATATCAATTATACAATGACAGTTCTATAAAATAAATATAACTAAGTTTAGTAAATATTAATTTAATATGTCTCAGAAATATTCAAACAATTACTTTGCTACATGCTTCCTTAAGTCCAGAGACAGAAACAC